AATAATATTAGTAATAATTATTATAATAGTAATAATAATAATAGTAGTAATAGTAATAATGATAATAATAGTAATAATAATACTAATAATACTAATAATAATACTAATAGTAATAATAATACTAATAGTAATAGTAGTTATAATAATAATAATAATAATAATAATAATAATAGTAATAGTAATAATAATAGTAATAATAGTAATAGTAATAATTATAATTATAATGATAAAATTAATAATAGTAATATTAATAGTAATGATAATAATAGTAATAATGATAATAATAATAATAGTATTAAAATGATAATACTAATAGTAATAATAATGATAATGATAATGATAGTAATAATGATAATAGTAATACTAATAATAGTAATAATAATAATAGTAATAATAATAATAATAATAATGAAAACAATAATAATAGTATTACTGCTGATAATGGTAGAATAAATATTATCATAACGTACAGAAATGGTAGCAGTAGTAGGGGGAGGAGATGACAGACAATTATATCTTGTTGCAGATACTTTCATTTCCGCTAAAGTTGCGTCTGCTGAATAGATTCGTTGGTTGATCTCACCGGAAGACAATGACCCATTCTCGTTTGGTTTTAATATGACGTTCCGGTTGAGGCATTCTCCCTTGTCTTGAGTTTAAACGGGTTGAAATGTTGTCCATCCTATTTGCAATTTATTCTTGCAACAGTCTCACGTTAACGCCAAATCAAAAAGACTGACTGGCTCATTCTAGCCTATCTTTATGTATTCATGACTAAAAAGTGAAAATACACACACACAGATGGATGGATATGGTATGTTTAATATAGTTATTTGCATGAGCATGTCTGTGTGTGTGTGTGTGTGCAAACGTCCAGATTCACTAGCGATATTCAGCACTGTCGCCGTAAGAGATTGATTGTAACCCAATTGCTCTTCGTATCAATAATTATTTGCTGGAATTGGTGAATGATTGGATACAACTGGACTCTAATTAGCTGAAACGACAGGTTTGAGCTCGGTTCGGGTGAAACGAGGCTGGACTTGAAGAAAGCAAAAAAGTTCTGTCCATCAGAGTCTGACGACGTGCACCTTCTTCGACTTCCGCTTTGTCCACTTCCTAATTCTCCGTCGTCAGTGTTGTTCACGTAGCACAGCCTCGTTTCCACAAGACAAAATCACTGTCAGTCAAGCAGAACGGTAGCGTTTTTAGCGTTTTCCGTCCACTTTCCTCATACTTTGACTCGCCTCCACCTCCACCCAACAGCCCGAGCCTCATCCCAACCGTGACCGGTTTCAGGTTGTCCATCTTTGGCCACAAAATTGGCAAACAGTTCACCAGAAAATGAAGCAAACAATTGACAATTGTTGCTTTTCCTCTCGGCAACATGCCGCCAGCCACGCCACTTCCGGCCCATTCTCTCTTGCCCTTCGCACTCTTACGCGCCTGTGGCCGTTTCGGCATGTTTACTTCGGCGTGCATGTACGTCCGCTTTTAGAAGATGGTCACCTGCGAACGGATCTGCTGGAAACTGAAATACAACCAAAAACGAACACGCAAACAACATTATTTTGGTGTAAGCAAAATGCCTTCTTCCCAACACGTCGCAAGGATTGCGCGAACATTGCGGCCTTTGCTCTGCTTTGGCCGCATTCGCCTTGGAAGGTTATTAAAAAAGGGTTTTGAAGGTGTTTGTACGGCCTCGTTTGCCAACAAAATCGCATTTTTGATGGACGTAGCCAAATATAGCCAACAACAAGTGGCTGTTTTTTAGTTTTATTACAATATTTAATCATATATATTTGTATATATTTATATAATAATATATTCATAAT